ACTTTCATTAGTTTTTCTTTCATATTTTACTTTTGACCAGACTTAGTTATTTGTATTCTTTCATTATTCAACATAACATTGAGTTAGCCATAAAAAAACCATTTTCTTCTCTTTTTACATGTTATGAAATCTTAACTTTGCATAATTTGTAATCTATAATACCATCTATACTACAATTAACAAATGTTACGAAAAATGTTCATATCCGCACAAGGTGTATGCAAGTCACCTAGTAAGTATGTATTCCTAGAGCGAAAAATAATTAGTTTTCATCAGATTGATTTTTTCTAGTTTCATATGACTAAAAGCATTTACAAAAAAAAAAGCATATATTTAAGTTAGATATTTTTGAAGATAAAACCCAAAAGCAAAGTCTTCTATAAATTACTTAAATAGTTTGGTTATGTCGACCAAAAAAAAAATAGTTTGGTTACAAAAAACATATATTTTATAAGTAGATATTGTTGTAGATAAAACCCATAAGCAAAGTCTTCTATAAATAGTCACAAGGCGGTGAGTGGCTCAGTGAGACTCTCACCAGAATTGCATCTGGCCAATCTCCATCAAAGCATTGTTATTTTTTATTTTTATTTTAAAGGAAACATTATTATTGATAATACTGATAAAATATTAACATCTTACAGACTCACACATCATCATTATCAATATTATAAGAATGAACGGTAAAAGCAAAAGGAATTCGACATATTTTCGGTAATTAACTTATGCTTACTCTATGTAATTTCTTTGTTTAATAATATATATAATTACATGTAGGTGTTTTAATAATTTGTAGGTTTGGAAATGTATAATTCATCTTAATATAAATTCATTAGTGTACTAATTGCAAATCAGACTATCAAAGAGAACTCTTAGACATATTTAAATAAAACACAATATATAGTAATATGTGTGAATCGTGATAACCAATCGCACTCGAAACAAAAATTGTATTTGCCTCTTCGGCCATATAATTTCGTTGTTACAAAAAGTATTGTATTAAATCTCACATCAAAAATTGAAAGAAAAAAAATTAAACAAAACATAAGGGATATAAAAGACATGCATAAAGAAGAACATGGATCAGAGATAAAAAAAAGTTTAAAAAAATAGATCTAAGATTTGGATCCGGTGGATTTGAGAAGAAGAAAAAAAAGAATATTCTCAAAGAAAACGCAGATACAAATGCAGACGAAAACATACAAACGCTTTTAAACTTTTGAGTTTGGGTTAATTATTTTACATTTAAGGTATAGTTTTTTGGGATAGGGTTTAGGGTTGTCATTTAGATTATAAAATTTTAAAAACTGTCTTACAAAATCGTTTAAAGACAAAGACATAAGGATCATGTTATATTACTAGAGGTGGACTGTTTAATTTCTCTTTATCTTTAATTTCACGTTCTATTAATTTAAAAATGAACTGTTTGGTCCGTTCTACATGTACTAAAACTTTTGAATTTTCTTATGTAAGTAAAAATCCGTTGGGTTAGGTAACCAGTACTGGTGGAATTATTGATTAATAGTTTTGGTTGACAAAAAAAAAGATCATGTTATATACCTCAGCATTATACAACTGTTTAAAATATTATAAAAATATTTATAAATTGTTTAAAAATAATATAAACTATTAATAAATTGTTTAAAAACATTATAAACTCTTTAAATATAGAGACCAGAATTAGGTTATATACTTTACCTTATAAAACTATTTAAAACATTATAAAACTTTTTAAAAAGAGAGACATGAAGATAAAGTTATATAATTCACCTAATAAATTGTTTTTTAAAAATTTATAAACTGTTAAAAAAAAATTATAAATTGTTTATAGAGATACAAATTCTTATAAACTATTTAAAAATTTATAAAAAAGCGTCAAAACACTTGATCAGTAACACCAAAAACAAAATTAACTCATATTGAAATCAAACTCAAATTGACAGATTGAAATCAATTACAAAATCATCCTAGATTGTTAT